GGGAGCTGCAGCGCCCCCTGCTGCGTAGAGAGGGGGAAGGTGAGCCACGGAGGCAAACGGGTTAGGTGGCTAAATACCCACAGCCCCTCCTGCCACCTCTCTAGGTGAGGGTAGCTTATTGCAAGGTCCGGACACTGGAGCGCCACAGCGGTACCTGATCACCTGCGAGCGGTATCCAGCGCTGAAGGGCAGCGCTCTGTGGCTGGAAACTTGTCCCTTTCATCATCACTGGTCTTCTAATTCATAACAGATATTACCTTACCTTGTCTTGCTGGTACCAGACCCGGGAATTCACCTTCCTAGCCCCCGCTGGACAGCGTTGTGTGGTCCACATTGGCCTTTGCATCAGTATTTATTATTATTACTGTTATGTTATTATTTACTTATTACATGTTTCCATTATGGCAGTAACTAGAGTGCCCAACCAGTGCTGGGAGGCAGGTCACAATATTTTATGTGCACACAGCAAGAGATGTTAGTTCCTGCTCCAAGCTGCTTATAATCTAAACAGACAAGACAGGGAAATGGTGGAGGAAAAGAAGATGGAAGAAACACTGTCTCAATTTCACAGACAGGGAACTGAGGGATTAAGTGACTTGTCCAAAGTCACTCAAGATGTTGGAAACAAAGCTTGAAATTGAACTGAAATCTCCAGGGCTCAATTTAGCATCTTAACTTTAACGTCATCCTTCTTCATTGTTATCATCTGTTGTAGTTTTGCTGTGTGCTCTCTCAGTTCCTACACCTGAAAAGCACAATAGCATCATTTAGTTTGTAACAGCAGAATATTAGGTGTTTTAATTTCATCAAAATAAAACAAAAAAAATCATTCCTGTCAGCCCACACATCATACTGTACTTCCAAAGCCATGGATATGAAGGGGCACAATACATTTGACGATTAGGCTGAGTGAGTTTGAGGTTTTGACAGTATCAGAAATCCTTAAACCTTTTAAATCTGTAAATCACAGTTCTGACATTTGAAAAACATCATAACAACCCACTTCTCATCAAATGCATTTGTTATTTTGTTAATATTGAAAATATTAATCTGTTTATCTGACCAGAACCTTGCTAGTTGAAAGAAAATCAATGCATTTTGCCCTATGCAGTATAATTAAACTGTTGTCCCTATGCACAATGGCAGCCCCGGGGTGGGAGGGGGGGAGATGATTTTTTAGAGGTGGGATTTTATAATCTTCAGCAATCCACTAATGAAATATTTTAAAGCAAAATTTAAACTAAGGTCCTAACACAGGGCTCGTCTAGACTACATTCCTCTGTCGAAAGAGGAATGTAAATGAGCCCAATCAAAAGTGCAAATGAAGCGTGGATTTAAATATCCCCCCCTTCCTTTGCATATTCGCGTCTGATCGCTGTTTCGAAAAAGGGTGTTTCAAAAGTGAAACCACAGTCTAGACGTGGTTCTTTCAAAAAAAACAAACCCTTTTTCAAAAGAACCCATACTCCTGAAAAAATGAGGAGTACCGGTTCTTTCAAAACAGAGGTTTTTCAAAAGACCTGTGTCTAGACTGCGGTTTCAGTTCCGAAACATCCTTTTGTGAAACAGTGATCATACACGAATATGCAAATGAAGCGTGGGATATTTAAATCCACGCTTCATTTGCACTTTCGATCGGGCTCATTTACATTCCTCTTTTGACAGAGGAATGTAGTCTAGATGAGCCCACAGTAAATTCAGAAACTGGCAGTATATACCCGGGGGTGGCAAATGCTTGTTAAAAGTCTTCATTGCCACTTGAATGGCTCTTTCACAGGTTCGGTGTTCTGCTAATAGACCTGGCAGGCTTTTTCATTTTTAAGTTAACTAAATCGTCTCTGGAGGAAGCAGAGCCACAGAACACGGATAAAAAGAGGCAGGTGGGTAAGGAAGGTTCTGGTCATGTAAACCACCATCATGGAACATTGCAATATCCAGGCCATTCATCCCTCAAACACCTTCTGAAGATCTCATGTCTAGCATGACAATCATGAGATTCTCCTGATGATCTTTATGCCTATCCATACACCTGAATTAACATGTCTAGACCTGAGATTTGGTCTAGCTCTAGGAATAGTAAGAAGAAGAAGAATTATTATGCTCTATCCTGATCCATCATTTACATCCTCTAGACAGAGGTCAGAACTTGCTCTTTCTCCTCCATTTGAAAAATAATCCAGTTTGCTTATCTATTACCAAGGCCTAATAGATTTAAGGAGTTTTACATAAGAGAGAGCATATTCTAACTGTAGCATTGATGTGTTACTGGAATAATAAGACTGACTAAACTCATTGCTTTTCTTGTTGCCAAATACACTGAATCTGAGGCATTAGCCTAAAATCAGGATGAGCCTAAGGTTTTGTCTTCATGGCCAAAAAGGTGGTTTTCTCCCAGTGAGATAACTATAGCATGGTAGTTATCTTGTTGTAAAATTACAGTGGAAACATTTCTTCTGGAGACAAACAAAAATGTGGTGTATAGAGCTCTAAAAACTGTGGTGACAGTATGTGGCAATTTACGTTCCTGAGAGAATCCAAGTCATGATCCTGAAATTTGTTGTATGCAAGTGGATCCCAAGCCTGCACAGAATCCAATTTATTTTAACAGGGCTCTGTCATGCACATCATGTTGCAGGATTTCAACTCAACAGGCTGAATTCAGTTGAGGTGCGATTAAATATGAAGGCTGAATCTAAGACTGAAATGGCCTATATGTTGCTTATAAATAAGGATCTGCTCACTGTTCTAACCCTATTAATTTCTGCTGTTATTTTGTTTTCTTATTGTTGCTACTACTGTTAGTCTAATTCAGTTAAATATATTTGCTGTGGTTATAATTAAAAAGCCATAATTTGCTTTGTGATAAAGTGTCAGACTCATTCCTGGGCTGGCAGGAAAACAACCCCTTTGCTTGGGAAAGTAGCACAGATGTGTGGCTTTATTACAGAGATATTCAGGAGTGGCAGAAAAAGCAATAGGAAAGCCTGCTTTTTTCTCACTCTATGAAAGATGTCAGTAAGGGCATGCATACATTACAGAGAAGATCAAAGCTACCACTGTCGATCTTCTAGGGTTCAAATTAGTAGGTCTAGTGAAGACACACTAATTCAAACTGAAAGGAGCACTTTGGTTGATGCTGGTAGTCCTGCTTCCATAAGGAGTAAGGGAAGTTGAAGGGCTAGTGTTCTCCCTTCAACTTCCTGAAGTGTGGATAGCGCCAAAAGCCGAGTTAAGTTACTTCAACTTCAGCTACACAATCAATGTGAATAGAAGAGGATGTGTGTCTGGCAGGGAATGGGAAGTTGAAACAGAACTGGGCAATAGAATAAAGGCTTTGTCATTGTGTGGTTCTTTGGGGAAACAGACTTATGTAAATTACACTTTGAACTGAATATATGTGGAACCAAGGTGGGGGTTTTTATGTTGTTTTTAACAGTGTTGGAGCTTTTAGAATTCCATGTATTGCAGTTTGTAATAAAAACATTTTTCGCAGGTCTGGAGTAAGATGAGTAAGGTTAAAGGTATACCTATATGTCAAGAACCTAGCAGAGGGTAGCTTAGTGTTATAGTCTCTTTCTTTTTTGCAAGAGCAATGGCTTGGTCTCCTGTGGTTACTGGTCTGGATCAAGATGGCTTCTTGCTTGGTTTTAGTAGTTTTTGGTTTTCCCTCTAACAGCCTCCTTTGGAGTCGGGAAAATATCACTGCATTTCTCACACTTATAATACGTGTCTAGGGATTTGTTTCGTATCATGTAAGCCTTAAAACTTCACAATTCCTTATCAGAATGATCTTGAACTTTCTTAACATTCCATCAATGTCCGACCCAGCAAAATAAATAGCCCTCAATCCCACAGAAGTAAACAGAATTTGAAAGTGTCAAAGCCTTCCAGAGTCAGGTGTAAAAAAAAAAAGAGAAATATTCAAGTACGTGTGGAGGTTTAGAAATAATCCAAATGACTAGAGCATCCAGTGTCCCATGGTGAAACATGGGTTGTTATGGGAATCCTGTAAACAAATACAGTAAAAGCTCTGTTATCCAGCACTCAATTAATCAGGAAGCTCAATTAACTGACATTTCTGATATCTCCCAATACACAGCTTCAGTCTAATAACTGGGACACATTATGCAGTTGCACTGTCTACACCAGGGGTGTCCA